AAAGGCAAACGGCATAAAAAGTATCGTAAAAGTCAAATAAAAAAGCTCACACAACAACAAGAAGAGCTGCAACAATAACGCGAGTCGCAGATGCAGCAGCAGCGACAACGGCAACAAAAGCGTCAAAAAGTGCGCAAAAAATGCAGCCCGAGTGCCACAAATAGCAGCAACAAAAAAATACAAAAAAAAAAACATACATACCTAACAAACAACGCAGCAGGCGTCCGTTAGCTTCTGCCAGTGTTGCCGTGCCGTGCACTGTCATGCCGTTAAGCTCTGCTGTGCCGCCGCCGTCGTCGCCGACGCCATTTTGTCGCTGCCTTCCGTCGCGTTTGCCAATTGCCGTCGCAAAATGGCGTTCGAGTGAATATTGAATTGAAATCGAAATTAAAGTGAAAAACAAACAGCACGCGTTTAAAATTCAGCCTAATTGAGTGAAGAAAATCAGCTAATTGCAAAATTACAATAAATTTGCTAAGAATAAAAAATAATAAAACAAAAATAAAGGATATTGCTAAATATTGTAAATGAAAATAATAATAGCTGCGAAAACAGTAAAGTTCATTTTTTTAAGTCCAAATGCAGTTAAGCTGTTAATTAGCCAGAACAACGGCGCATATTTTAGCATTTTTATGCAAATTGACGTGGTAAATACATTTGTAGTGTTTAATTTCTAGCGACTTGGAAACAATGTTTAGTTTATTATAATTTCAGTAGCTGGCGTCTCTCGACTATTGATGCATAATTACGCAATAAGCAGATAGGCATTGTTCATGTTCTGTTTGTGTACCCAACTTGGGGAAAAAGAAGAAGAAAACATGCTCCCTACATTATAGGGAAACAAGCTCGAGTTATTTGCCATGTTCGTTCGTTTATATTGAAATTGTTTTTGTAACTATATTGCGAAGCAGACACTTGAAGCTGACTCTACACACATAAGAGTCCAAATTGATATAGAAAGGCATCGAGTATAGTCTAAGAATACACACACAACACACACACATACACACACTTGTTTCCTCGTCTACACAATCGAACCGAAGTACCAAAAACCAAAGAAAAACCGCCGTGCGTTTCGTTTGCCTGATAAGAAACCGAGGAGAGTCACGGCAACGGCGACGGCGACGGCGACGGCGATGGCAACGGCGCTTTGCCACAGTGCCAGTGCCAGTGGCAGTGCTCAAACAGTCAACCAACCAACGAACCAACCAACCGAGCGATCCAATCTGGCTCTATCTATAAGGCAGTGCCGTCTGCCTAACTTTATGGAATATAACAAAACAACCTCCGCCGCGTGACTTAACATTTCCGCCTCTTCGCCAGGTTGGATCGCGCTCGCCGCGCGTGTGTCTCTAGATACTAAATATCGGTGTTTAGTTTATTATTTGTATTTAAATATATATATATATATTTATCAACTGCAGGGCATGCCGCTCCAATTGATCAGGCTTCTGTAAAATTGTGCCAAGCAAAGTGCCTGCTCGCTAGTGCGTCACATAAACTTAAATTATTGCGCATACGGCACGTGTGACGAGCTGCCCCAACTCAAACAGAGGCATATTGGATTAGCTACACCGACAAGCTTGTGATTACAACATTTAAATAATAGTTGCAAATAAAAATAGTCATCGATTTTCGGCATTGATTTCTTGCCGTTGGTTGTTGTTGTTGTTGTTGTTGTGAGCGTGCATGCAACTGGCTTTAGAGATGATGCAAACGCTGAAACCGCCACCGCCATTGCACCAACAGCATCCTCATCCGCATCCGCATCCGCATCCGCACCCACATCCACAGCATCTGCAGCAGCAGCTGTCAGTCATGGATAATCATCAACAGCAACAGCAACAGCAACTGCAACAACACATCCATCAGCAGCAGCAGCAACAATTGCCGCCCACGCCGCAGGCATCGCACCTGCTCGCTGGTCAGCACAGCCATCATCAACAACATGCTGCGGTTGGAGTCGGTGATCACGATGACCCAAATCCAGAATTTGTGTTGGCTTTAATATCAAGGAATCGAGCGCTCGAGGGTGAGTAGCAACAGCTTTGATTCTCAGTTGCCAAGGGCTCAGGTCTTAGCTCTCAGCTCTTGGGTCCAGTGGCCAAGCCAACTCGTCATCCGCAATTTGCCTATGGCTCTTGCACCTGTCTTGTCTAATATTTTTCAGCTCTTGCTTCTCTCTATCTCTCCGTAACTGTCAGTTATTTATTTATGCTTTTAATTATGCCTAGTTTTTCGCTGTTGTTTTGTGATTTTGTGATTTGCCAGGCAACAGATGAAAATGTGGCTAAAGTGTTGATTGCTGATGAAAGCGTATCATCAGCTGGCTTACGTCTGCATAAATAGCACACGATGTGTGTGGCACCTGTGGCAGTTGGGCACAGAAGTGCGGTTGCCCTGACTTGTATCGAATCGCCTTCCCCACTACGCCGCATAAGTGTTTTTCAATTAAGCATAACGGCTTGCCCTAACCGCATTAATGCGTTCGTTAATTTTCGCTCATTTCCTATGCTGTTTCGGCTGCTGAAATTAATAATATAATTGCTGAAATTAAAAAGAAGGATTTTTCTCAACTCAATATGCCATGTACGAAAGCAGAACAGAGGAAGCAGAAGTAGAGATTTATGATTCATAGAAGTTTATATAGATTGAAGCTAGAAAGGGCAGAACAGCAATTGCTAAGTTAATCACTCTGTACTAATCTAATGCTTTGCTTAACTATGAACTTGAGAGCTCGATATTCAAAGACTGTTTCTTATATAAACACTCATTTATATATACAGGCTGTAAGCGGCCTGAGTTGGGAGTTTCCGACTAGGGGCTATCGTTCTCCACGTTAAGCTGCAAACGTTTTAGTATTGTTTCTCTTTTTGGAAGTGATATATAAGGGTATCAGGAAAAGGAATGTGAGTTTATAATTTCTAGTCTTTACTTTTTCAAAGCGAGTTACATATTTGCATAGATAGAGGGGCAGTCGAAGGTCTCTTGTCTCTTGAGTCTCTTGACTTTTTTATTCTTTTATTTAAGTACGTTTTTATTTTACTTAAATGTCTTCTGCCCAAATTTATTAATTGAAAATAGTTACCATATCCAATATTAAATAAAAAAAATGTGTCGAAACAAGTTGTGTGAAATGTGATTCAAGGCAAACGGAAAGAAGGCGGGCAGAAGGTCGGAAGGAGCCCACTTGACTTTAATTCCTGTGTCAAATAGTCGAGCAAGCAATTCAAAGCATATAACCCACGGCTCAATTTTGATTATTATTCTGTTTCGCTTCATGTTTCATGATTGTTACCAAAACTCGATGCATGTTATTTTATACTCTTCAGAGCTTAGCTCCGTGCTGTCATTGTCGCTTGTCTATATGGGAAATCCAGCTGGAAGACATTCAGAGCAACCCCAACACAAATTATGATTTCGATTCGTGCATCACATGTCGTGGCGTGATCCCACGCAAATCAATTGACAAGCTAAGGCCGCAGCTAAAAGCCAGTCCAAAATGTTGACAACTGACACACGGAGGATAACATCGAAGGACACGCGCTTCGAGCTGGATATGATGTGGAGACAAGACAAAGCCAAAGTCCCAAAATTGTTGACAATGACCAAATGGCTTAGCATCTCAGCCATTGTTGCTAATGCGCTGGGAATACCTAGAAGCTGCAGCTGCAGCTGCTACTCCTTCTACCAAAAGAAGGAGCGCTTTTGGCTTCTCCAGCCTCCATTTCGAGCACGTGTCGCAGCATTGAAAAAAGAGCATGCTGCAAGGCTGCAATTGTTATTGGCACTGGGCGCGTTTTTCAAGTGCGCCGGGATTTTGTTTAGAGCACGCGTAATTACAAACAAATAAATAACAGGGCCATGCCATAAAACCGCATAGGCGACTTCGCATAGGACACGTGGCGCTAATATCCAGGCAGAGCAGATCAGAGCAGAGCAAAGCAGTGCAAAGACCTGGCTAGATGCTGCAGCACATCCCAGCGGAGTTGAGCGGCGTTCGTTGAGCGTCGTGCAAAACGAGCAGAAAAATTGAATTATGCGCTTGCGGTGCTTCCCAAGTGAAGCACCCTCAACCCCAACCTCGAGTCTTACCCCTGTCGCTGTCACTGCCTATGCCACGCCCAGCCGAGCAGTTGAAGTAACCGGCAATCGACAAATATTTTGTTATTTGCACATAAACATATTTATCGAGTTTGGGTTGCTCTGTTTGCAGTGTAGTCGAGTAGGAGGTGTGGGTAGCTCGCTGCACCCACGGGTGTTTGGTTTCACCCGTTCGCAGCTCCTTGGCCATATATATATATGGGGTTTGAGCCTGTCAAAAATTGTGTAAATATGTTTGTCATTTCCACTTGCCTACGGCCCGTGCACTTAGTTTTGGGCAAACAAACCTCTCTGCCACCTCAACCCTCATACTGTGGGCTAGCGCACTTGTCGCTCACTCGACCGTCCGTCCACTCGCCCGCCCGCTGTCCGCCGCGTGCCGTTCGTTAGTTGTTCTTGTGTGGCTTTCCTATTAACGTCGCAAGGGGCTCACCCTCCTAGCCAGCCAGCCAGCCAGCCAGCCAGCACCCTACTAATGCTTAAGCGTATCGCTTTGGCTTGCTTGCTTCCTTCCTTGACATCCTTCCGGCGGGGGTTGCATTTTGTTGCCTTTTGCGCACGTAATTTGTCATAATGTCAACAAGCGAATGATGTCAAGATCGGCTATGAGCACAACTGGAACTGGTTTGACTAGAAATTTAGAAATTATATATTTGCTATTCAGACTTAGATTAATGGGCAAGAGGTAGACCAGAGGCAACAGGTAAAATGAAGATCAGACAAGTGCACGCACCAAGATTTCAGAAAGGAAACACCTTGCTGCTGGTGTGGATATTACTCGTTACTCCGGCAAAACAGTAGACGAACTCTCAGAGAAGGCCTTTTCCTCAGCTGATCCAAAGGTGTGCAGCAAAGACAAGCAAATGCTAGTTCGTTTTACTGAATTTATAATTTAGAATTTTATATTTGATATACAGCCTACATATATTGATAGGCAATTAGATAAACGGCTCGCCTGCTCCCACCAGATGTCTCATGGATCAGATCTACCTCGTTGCTTAGCAGATCGCGCAGATCGTCGCGTATTGCCTGAACTTGTGCCTCTGTTGCGTTGGCTTCCACACCTACATGTATCTCACGTATATAGTTTTCCACATTATGACGTCGTATACGCTGATAAGTGGAATTACCCAGGCTATAAATACTGCCAGCTGTGGCTGTGCGATAGCTGGTCTCCGTCGTATAGCCCGAGGAATGGGAATCAGTCACAGTCAGCTCGGCGCTTCCAATGGTGGATTCGCTGCCATTGTAATTGAGTGCTGATGTAGTCGAGGTTCGCGAAGCAGCTGGCAATACTGTCGTAGCAGATTCTGAAATATCCGTTGCTACGTGTTCAACGGCAGCCGACTTGGGCGTTATTTGCACTGACTTGCTGCTCCGCAAGAGGTTGGCACCCCTCAACAAAGTGCTCGGACTCCGCTCAAAGGTTGTGTCCGACTGGCTTAGTCGAAGGACAGCATGTTCTTCCTTGGCATTGAATAGAATTGTTATTGACTTTTTGAACTCGATGGCTTTAGTTTGCCTGGCAGACCCTGTCGAGCAGTGTGGCAATGGTTCGGTGGCGTCTCTATTAGTTTTGTCCATTGTCTTGTTGAGCTGGAGCTCTGGCTGGGAACTTGCAGCCCAACTGCAATTCGGTTATTGTGCCAACCTCCTCGGTGAACTCCGTCTGAGTGCAGCTACTGAAAGTCTTCTGCACCTTGGCCAGATCACAGCGAAAAGCGTTGTAGGCAGCCCAACTCACATTGGACATCTGTGTGACAGACAAATATAAAATTTTTTAGTGCTCTACCTAAAAATCATTTGCTGTCTGCTTGATTTTAGCATTTTACTGACATTATCCAGTACCAAGCTTCCGTTTTCTTCCTTTCCACTGGACCCCGTAAGTGTTTCCATACTCGAATTCATAACTAATTATCGTTTCATTAAACTCAACTCTAACAAGCCATAATTTTTGGACCTAAATATTTACTCTACTCTCGGACATAACTAAATTACTACTACTAAATTACTGCTGCGCTACGTCACTAGCTCTATATATCATATATATCAAAGTAGTTGGACAGCATTTCCAAAGCATTCCGATCGAGCTAATAGAACTCTTTACAGCTTATTTAATAAATTTAACTTGAGCGACCTGGAGATAGCCTTACCAAAGTTCTATCTGCGTTTTTAATATTATACTTAGCTTGTATCTAGCTTTAAAAAAAAAAAAAGAGAATCCAATTCGATCGTGTTTTTAATCGATAACAATACAACGTGAGCAGCTATCGATCAATCGCATGCGCGAGCTATACACGGACCTATAAAATTTTAAATATAATATATATATATATATAATATAATTAGTAACCTATAGACATTTTATTGCTAAAGGAGCTTATTCTAATTGACCAGAGCTATAAGAACTACATCCCAAGTCTTTAGCTCTAATGGATCAGCCTGAATTCCAGAACTAAGCAAACTAAAACTAATTTAGTTCTGCTCATAGGAATACATATTTTTTTATATTGTTTACCCGCCCAGCTTTGGGATGGGGCAAAAGCACTTCTCAGATTTCTAAGCCTCGGCGGATTCTTCTTCCTTGAGCAGATGCCTTTTTGGGGCAATCCGCGCATTTTTCATTGCTAGGCCAAAACAACAAATGAAAATACATTTTAAAAGAAAAAAAGTTGGGCCTTGGGCTTGGAGCCAAGTTGAGAAATCAGTTGATGTTGTTATTGTTATTGTTGCTGTTGCTGTTGGTTGTTCGGTTGTTCGGTTGTTGGTTTGTTCGTTTATTCGTTGTTTTTCATGGCGTCCACATAAATCATTTTTTGTTCGGACTGCCTGCTGCATATTTCATGGCGGTTTGTTTGCCATACTCCTGAAGCGGTGGGTGGGGAGCTTGGAGATGCTCCAGCTATGGCTCAAGGGGACGGTGCCGGGCGCTTAGAATCGACGACAGCTCTTTGACTAGGCTGCCTCTGCTGGCAGGTAAGGTTAGCCAATGCTCCCTGCTTCTCTACAGCCCCAAAGTCCTGCTCACCCTCCCTCGCTGAATCGCTTCAGCCCCGCTTTATGAACATTTCTGTTTGTTTCTTTTTTCGTCTCCCTCTCGTTCCCGTTTTTTTGCCAACCTTTCTAAAACAGCATTTCGTGCTCTGGAGGAGGGAACAGGCGCATGTTTAACTTACGTTAAGTAAATAATGGGGCGTTCATATGACATTGCCAGGCAGAGCGGGCGGGGCAATAAGAGAGGGCGTAGGCCAGGGGAGCTCATACGCCTCACCTACTCGTCTCTATGTAAGCGAGTATATTTCGATGAGTGTGTGTGTGTGTGTGTGGGTATGTGTGTTTGCAGTCACTGTTTACTTCCACAATTTCCTTTTTGCTTAATAAAATAAAATATGAACGAACAAAAAATCACAAACACAAAATCTTCTGCAGTCAAAAGTCGCAGACGCCATTTGTGAAGCCGGAGCAGGACTTGTAGCTCTACTGGGCATAGGCAATGCCTTTAACTACCTAAAACATTTCGAAAAATTGGCTTAGGGTATATGTTTTATTACAATATATAAATATAACTATTTTTCAGTGTATCCGGCTAGAATCAGAAATTCTTATTTATTATTTGCAAAATCAAGTATAATCAAAATATGCAGAGAAACTCTTTCAAAACCGAAACCTGTTTTTCCCAACTATGATAAAACTTTTCAAGAGAAGCTTGAACTAATTAAAATTTTATTTAAAATATTTAATTAATAATATTCTATAATAGATTATGGATGTTAAAAATTAGTTTCATAAATTTGTTAACTAAATTGGTGTGAAACATAAGCTGCATTTGTGTTTGATGTCTTAATTATCATATTATTTCAATGGGATTTTATTTGAAATCGCATATTGCTTTTAACTATGTGGCAACATCATTCGAATAGTTCGTAGCTGAATCTCAGTTTCTTGTTCAGAATTGGAACCATTTGATAAATTAAATGATTTTTGTAAGTCATACAACAAATATCAACATATTTGAAATATACCTTTATTAAAATGTACTTTTTCTTAGAATTTGTTTACTTTCCATAATACTGAGTAATTTGTTTTCAATGTATTTTCTTTTTGCTGATATACAAATGAATTCACCTTTTACTTATCTCTCCGAACTATCTGAACTAAGCCACTGTGATTTGTTACTATGCAAACATATTTGGCTCCACTGTGCAATCGAAATAAAAAATTCAAAATTTACAAAGAAAACACAAATATAAACAGCAGAAGCACAAAGGCAAATGCTTTAATGTTGGCTTCCACTGCAACGGCTTGAGCAGGCAGTGTGACAGAGATGGCAAGAGTGAGATGGAGAGAGGAATTTCCCTTGAACACGTAGCAGCTGGCTAAAAAAGTGCCAAAGGAACAAAAATGGGGTACGCGTACAAGCTGGAAACGCGTTCTCCATGTACGTATGTATGTATATATGTATATGTATATGAATATGCTTCTATACAAACAATATCCCGCAGCGAACTTTATTAAATTACACGATTTTGACAGTTAAGCAGGAACAGCAGCAACGGCAGCAGAGAGCACAGCTCTGCGACTCCAGTTGTTGTCTTCGACATTATACGAGTGTATGTGTGAGTGTTGCCAAGTGAAAATCATAATTTTTTCTTATATTTTATGTAATACTCTTGAAGCTGCAGAAGAGCAGCAGCCCCCTTCCAGTCGCTCAGCCGCCCAGCCGCCCTGCCCTGCATTGCTCTGTGCTGGGAGCAAATTTCCCCGCCTCTTCTCACTGACAGACATTTGCGTTGTCTGGCAACGCTGACGGTATTCCTCTTTGAGTATTCCTTGGGGGCCGGTTTAGGCAAATAGAAATGTTCTTCTTTCTCTTGGCTGGCAATAAGAAATAAAATAAAGTCGAAATCTTGGCAATTGCGCGATTCACTTATGGCCGGGAGCGGTTACCAACTTTTATCATTCCGCAATTAGCGTGGCCATGTCTGCAGCAGCGCTTATCGCTACGCAGCCGTAGTCGCAGTCGGTAGTCGGGTGCGGGTCAAAAACTTGCCAGATACTCCTCTAACATGCCGCTGTCGCTGCCGCTGCTGCTGCCGCTGCCAAACGGTAAATATTTGTACACCGTTTCACTCGATACCTTGAAAAACGGGACAACAACTGCGGCGATAACGTCTACACAGTTACCCTATTCCGATGCCTGTCTATATGTATGTAGGCGTATATATCTATAAATAGTCAACGTGTGCATTCTTTTCGTCTACTATAATGAGTAAAGCTAGTATGATGGGGTATTTCAGACTAAAAGGCAGGCTGCACTCTCAAGACTGAGTAAATAGTAATCAAATGAATATTAAATTCTGCATTTGACCTGTGGTAATATATATGTAGATATAATATATTACAGATATAGCTGTAGATTTTTGTTCGCTGAGTTATACTCCATGCAGCCATTTTTAATGGGTGTAATGGCATAAAAATAGAGAGCTTGTTTAAGAACCCAGTAAAACAGTCTATGTACCAGAGTCTTGTTTTTGGGCCTGGGGGCATGTTCGATTCGGTTATCTGTGATGGGCGCACTTAGACGGCATGGTACAAGATTTGCCCATTGAGACGAGACATACGCCTACATATACGAGAAATACATCAATGTTTACATTGGCACCACGTACCGTAAATGTTCTCGATAAGAAAAAACATGCCAAGTTTTCCCGACAGCGCTACATAGAGATGATTTGCAGCTTGAATCGACGGTATATAAAGGGAAGACGATGGTTAGATTGGTATAAAAACAGAAACTGGGAAAGATAGGGGTAACAAAAGGTTGTGCAGAGCTCTGCTAACCAGCTCTCTTAGCTCGCCGCCTAGTGTTAAATGAGGCCTATTAACATAGACATCTATATATATACAGCTTCTTTTCTTTCTTTTCATGCGCAACCCTCGCTGGCTGACTTTCAACTTGCTCCGACTCGTAGAGCCTTTTTATCCTTTATGCATTTTCTGCCATTTATGCCTTTTATGCTATCTGTGATTATTTTCCACATCGCTTTGTCCATTGTTTGGGTTTATCTAAACAGGTGGTCCCAGCATGTGGCCGAGCCGCTGAATTCGCAAATCTTTTTGTTTGATCCACCCTTCTGCTGCTTCTGATTGTTGTTGCTGCTGCTGTAGTGTTTACCTTTCAATCAACTATAATATCATATATATTTAAATAAGCATTTATATGCATGCATGCATTCACAAAAAGCTAGTGAGCTTTGATTCAAGCCAACCGCAAATTATTGTTGGTAATATTATTTAAGCAGGTGTGCTAATTGCGACTCCCGCTCCTCGTAGTGCTCGCTACAGCTTTGGATTTATTTAGATCAGGCCGAAATTTATATTTTGCGATATGTCATTATATTTAGTGGGCTTTCCTTGTGTTGTTTCGTTTTTGGGGGGTTTCCAGGAGCTAACACGCGACAGGCGGCTCTGCATCCGCCGTCGCATCGTGCTCGTCCGTGGACCAGTTATAAAACAATCGAATTTTCGTTATGTCAATAGTTAACAATAATCGCCGTTATTACTTAACTTATTTCGCACCCGTTGCTGGAGTGATTCGACTTTATTCCATACACTTCACGAGAGCCCATCAAGTGGAATTTCAAGCAGCAAAATACTACAAAGACTTGTATTTATTGTTTCTCGATCTCATAGCTCAAACTATTGAGTACCCTAAAGGCAAACGCAATGGGCTCTGAGTGTAGAAATCTGTTTGATTACGAGACCATAAGTCAACTAGTGCGAGCATGTAAGTTGGCATACCCAATATCAATATACCCGTCCTTTAACGTGGCTTTGCTAGCTATCGATAACATCAGATAACATCGATTACAAACTATTCTTTAAATACCTATAGTTAACTTACCAAATTTGGATATACCCACACCTATCTTTTCATATACATTTGTGTGTTATCGATTGCATAAGCTATACAAGTAATTTATCGCTAGTAATTTCAATGAAAACTGCATTTTACAATTATCGATAAGTCTATCGATCTTATGATCAGCTCTATATCATTTTGCAGCCTTTGAGTGTGACATAATTTGCAATTGATCTAAAGAACTTTTATACTATTATCGATAAGATAATCGATAAGGATATTTTGTATCAAACTAAGATTTTTATATTAAGACAAAATAGAATTAGTTAAGTCTCGTTTAACTTAGAAGAAAAACGAAAACAGTTATCGCTACATATATCGATAAAGAATTGTAGTGTAAGAGGTGTGAAATTTACGGACTTATTTGAATTTAAATTGAATTGACGGTAATTTTTTATCGGTGATCGACACATTTATCGAGTATACATATATTTCATTATAATAGAAAATATTACACCTAAAATTATTTATAAAGTTTTAAAGAAGTTCTTTGTTATGCGAAAAAAAAAATAATAGACTTATCAGTTGGTTAGGAATCGAGAATGAATCATCGAAAGAACTGGAATCTTATATACCCTATATATATACCTTAGCCTATAAATACTTATGCGCAAAATCTATACATAGTTCGCTTATGATATGGCCTGAGCTGGCAGATTTGCTTCATTGTATTGATATGATGCAGCAGTTGGGGCACTTCTATCGGCTTATCAGGCTATCAGAGAGATAAGTTAAGGTCTCTGCCTTTCAAATAGATAAGTGTCACTCTTCGAAAACACAAACACCTAAACAAACTACGCACACAGACCAGATCTGAGATTCGTAACTCCCAGCTAGACAGTTTCGATTGTTGAGCAAAGAACCCGTCGAAAGTTCTAAGAGCTTGCCGCCTAGTTTATGCTATGGCTTATGCTATTTACTTTAGATGTTGAACTACTTTCATTCCACTACGAACACTTGAAAATGTCCAACATAAGTTGTATAACTGGAAGCACGATCCATGTAGTGGGGGAGGGGGAGCTCAGCTCACTGAAGTGCCATATAAATGTGGCACTGATTGCGCTTGGAGTAGCTGTAAGGCCCGCTACTTGGATTTAAGTCAAATATAATCGTTTATTAAATCTAAAGTAAAGTTATTTAAGCACTTTGATCACACCGACCCTCGAAGCTCTTCTGCCTGCCCTCCCCTAATAGAGCTCACAGTTGACCTAGTATAAGAAGTAGGGGAAGGGCACGGTTAGATAAAGAATAGCAGTACGATAAGACGGCAAGTAGACGCAGAAGCCTTTGGCCACAATTTAGAAAATATTATTCAATCTATGGCTAAATTAGCTTGGCTGCTGTTTCTGGTATTATAATACAGATTCCTATTGCATAAGATTAGCCTTAAGAAAGTTGAAAAGTTTGAGAATCTGTGACTGGCTCTATGGACGGAGATCTGTTTAGGTCCACAATAAGCTGCTAACCCAATCTTCCGATTCCAGCTGTCAAGCTGTAGATGTTACGAATGTTTTTTAGAGTTGTCATATACCTGAATATAATATGCATTTTTATGAGATGAAAATACATAATTTAATATCCAAATTATCTAGCTGATGGAGGAGTCGAAATCTGATAGAATTTATCCAAACTGGCCATTATCACAATATTCGAATTATTTATGGGTTAAGATTACATTCTATATAATATAAGTTATAACACCTAAGAGATATATTGAAGTATTCGATATATCTTATGATACAACTCTAGCTGAATTCTCTAGGTACTTCGACTTTTCAACTTGGTTTCCGACGGGTCTAACTTGCTAAATCTATCACTAGAATGAGAGTAATCTATATATTTTTCTATCTGCATTTTCTTCATTTCATAAAGGCAATTGGCTACGTAAGTTATACATGATATGAAAGGAGAAAAAGGCAAGAGCAAAAGCTCCTTAAAAGCTGCTTCAATGGAACTCCATAAATTCGAAACAAAAATCAAAAGCTGTTAAACAGATAAATGGTTTTATTTCTAAAATGCATGACACCACGTCCGCATCCGTGTGTCAGGTTGAGGCTGGAACTGAGTTCGAGTCCAAGGAGTAGTTCGGCCCGGTTAGCAGAACTGACTTGAACGTATGTCGCAAATTATGCGATGCTCAGTGAAAGCGTTCAATGAACAAAATGATTTTATTGCATGCGGCCTGCTAAGCCCGAAAAAACACTCAAAACCATTTGGCCATATGTTGCCATTTGTGACAATAAGTGCAGCAGGCACGACACACAGGAATGAAACAGAACGGAATGGAATGGTCGAGTGGATTGGGTAGTTAGCAGACAGACACACAGACAGTCGGATAAAAGGCAAAGGGAGAGAGAGAGGAAGAGATTGAGAGCGAGAGTAGATGCCGTTGTCGTTTGTTGTAGTTAATGCCCAATGGGTGGCAAATTGTTTTTTATTATCGGGCGGGCCGAGGCAGCTGCGACCCCTCGCAACTCGGCTGGGTTGGTGTGACAACGTGGGGCAAAGGAGTAAGCGTAAGCTCGTCCTCTGGCTATTGTCGATTGCGTGAATAAAACTTTAATGGAACGACACAAATCCCATCGGTTTACCCTGATGCTGTTTCTGTTGTTGTTGTTGTTCTTAGCGTTTCTAATGCCAACTAATTGAGTGCGAAAATGCCGTCAGTTTTGCGAGAAGTTTTCTTCAGCTTTT